CAGCAGGAACCAAATCAAAATTTTGAAAGCTTGGTTGAGGGTCTGGGTGACCACTCCTTAATAACAGTGCTTATGTGCCCTCTTGGCCACCGCTTCCAGGAATTCCTCCATGCTCAGCAACATATCATGCTAGACTGCTGGGCCCTGAAAATAGGGCAGTGTGGACATTCCATCCTCTTTACTTCATGCCCTCATACTGGTTTCTGGATGGAGGGAGGCCAAGCTGCCTCACTACCTCATGGGTTGACCAGTTAAAAGGGCGAAGGAAGCCCTGCTCCCAGGCTAGCCCACCAGCTGTTAAGGCAGGGCAGCTGGCCTACAGTCGAGCTTAGGAGCAGTTTTAATGTCTGGGCCCTAGCTCAGGGAGAGGTGACAAACAGTTCAGGGGCTCAGGCCTAACTGCAGGCTGAGCCACAGTTATACCACCACACCCCTGGACAGGGCAGAGCAACTATGAGCAGTTCAAGAGCTCAGGTCTGGCTGCCTGCTTGAGCAATAGTTTATACAATCAAGCCCCGGGTCAGGGCAGGGCAACAACCACAGGTACAAAGTTTAGGTACGCTCAGGCCATAGGTCTGAGCCCTTATTCAGGGCAGGCCAGCAAACAATACCGCAGTTCAGGGAGGCACTGGCCTGGCTGCAGGCTAAGCAGCAGTTTGAGGGCCATGCCCTTGGTCAGGGCAGGGCCGCAACCAAATAGTTGCAGTCTACACAGTTAAGGGCTTTGGGCACTCAGCAGATGGAGCCAATAATTTATCAAGCCCAGCCCTTGGTCAGGGTCGAGCAACACAAAACAGTCACACAGTTTAAAGCTCGGGCCTGTCTGCAGGCTGAGAGGGGGTCAGGACTCCTTGTTGGCGGAGAGCCGACAAGCGCAGGGTTTTTTATCCCAGGGGGAACCTGCCACACAACTGAGCTTGGAGCTCCTCCTTTTATACTTCCTGTCCTGCCTTTCTGCTTCCTGTGGGTGGGGCCAGGTTGCTCTGGCATTGCCCACCATGGGGCTTTGGGAGGGGTTCCTTTCCAGGTCAGCAGAAGGCCAAGCTGACTCACTACATATACTCCCTTCCCTTCTCCCCCATCCATCTTCAGGGACCCCTCTCACAAGTACCTGCTTTGATCAGAGGTAACTCACCTTCTATGGCTAGGTGCAGTGGAACTTGTTTCACCCCTATTTCCTGACCTAAAGGAAAAATGGAGAATTGCAACCCATACTAAATTTGCAACAACTTGACAAATTCACACATTCCCAAAGATTCAGGATGGTCACATTGGGCTCAACATTATCTGTACTAGAACAAGGGGACTGGTTCTTAGCCCTCGACCTCCAAGATGCATACTTCCGTATTTCAATATGTCCGGCACAAAGATGATTCCTCTGATTTGGAGTGGGGCACAATCACTTCCAATACAGAGAGCTCCTGTCTGGTCCCTCTACAGCACTGAATGTGTTTTTCAAGACTCTTGCAGTGGTTGTGGCCCATCTCTGCAAACAAGGGATCATATTCTTTCCATACCTTGAAGACTGCATTATCAAAAGCCAAACTTATGAAGAGATCT